TGGCACCTTTGGGGCTCTGATCCTTGGGGGTGCTGGGGAAAGGCCCAGACTCTGCCCCAAGGGTCTCTTTTCCATTTGGAGATATTGGGGCTTCTCTGGTGACATCAGAGAGTCACTGGTCCAGAGCAGGTGGAAGGTGGAGCGTCACGCCCCTCTGACCGTCGTCCCACATGCCCTCCAGACAGGAAGAGCTGCAGGAGAAGCTGGGCCAAGAGGCACGGGAGGGCTGTGAGCTCCGGGCCAGGCTCAGCTGAGGGCTTTACCTGCCCCGTTTCATTAACCTTTGGGTTGATGCTATTCCCTCTTTTTTTCTGCCCTTCACTGGAGAATTCAACTCATGTGCTGATTCATTCATTCATTCATTCATTCATTCATTCATTCATTCATTCAGCACCTACTATGAGCCAGACACTGTGCTGGGCTCGAAGTAGGAGCCTTCTCCTCTCACCTCTGACTGATCCCAAGTTCCCTTCTCCCATTGTCACTGAGTCACCAGCTCTTAGTTGCCAAATCCTGCAGCCATTATAATCAACACTATTACTAAGATTGAGTATTTCCTACATACCATACCCTGTGCCCTGTTTGCACATGGGCTCCTGCCCCATAAGACCCCTGAGAAGTAGGCACTGCCACCCTCTTTTCAGAGAAGACAGTGACACACCAGGGGTAACAAAGCCCTGAGGCTGAAGCTGGGACGGACGTGGGGCTCCAGAGCTCCTGTTCCTTCTTCCTGCCTTGTTGCTGGCTTCCTGGACCTCCCTGTGCCTCAAGCCCTCTCCTGCCTCCGCTTCCCCCGCCACTGCCACCACCACTTGGAATGGCTCTGCTCTTGCCTGCTCAGCTCCCAGCTGCTGGGCCCATGACCTGGGCTGTAGCTGAGGTGCCAATGTTACAGAGGGGAGGGGCTGATAATAGATGGAAGATGAGAACCCCCACATTGCAAGATGGAGAGACCTTTGAATTTCTCTCCAGGGTCCTGAGTGGGCAGAATAGGTCTGGCCCAGAGCCATGTGCCCAGGAAGGGCTGAGGGGTCCAGGGTAGGGCCTGGTGGGGTGCAAGCGTGGCCAGGTCATGGGCAGGGCTGGGATCAGGGAAGACTTCCTGGAGAAGGGGGCTGTAAAGAGTGCAAAGGATGTAACGGGGGAAGTGGTCAGGGCGGGATGGGAACAGGGCTGTGTCTGGTTCCAGAGCCTGGGCTCTGTGTAGGGGAAGAATAGAGACCATTCTGGGAGGGAGCGGTTGAAAAGTGGCAAAGGCATGAGGAAAATGGGGGCCACATGCAGGGTTAGGGAGACAGTGGGTCACTCAGGTTGGAGCATAGGTGAGAAGGGGAAGGGTCAAGCTGGAGGCCTTGAATGTTGGGCTAAAGTAGATCGGGCTTCTTTTGTTCCCATCTACTCACCCATCCGTCCATTTGTCCATCTATCCACCTATCTATCCACCCGCTCACTCAGCCCCATAGCTAGCCAGCCAGCCGCACATCCACGCACCCATGCATCCATCCACATATTCCACACACACTCAGGCCCTTGCTCCGTCTGTGCCAAATCTTCTGCCACGATTCCTCCTCCTGAAAGCAGAAACTGCCTTTTAAGGCTCTCACTATAAGACCAGCTGACTGTAAGCATCTACCAAATGCCCGCTACAACCAAGCTCTGTGCTAGGAGGTGAGGAGTCAGTGGGAACAAGACCCAGGGTCACGTCCCCTGAGTGCACTCCGGGTGTCAGGAGCAGGGAGGTCTCAGAAGGAGAAACCTGGCACCAGTGGAGAGCCTAGCGGCTGGCCACGCTGACATCTGGCCCCATCATCCTGACCCCAAGGATTCTGGGCTCCCTGGACAAAGACCACAGCATCTCAATCAGGGCTATAACAACGACCATCAACTTCCTTTGAGCAAGTGTTTTCTGGAACAAACTCCATTAAGGCAATTTAATTTTTTGATCAATTTTCTTTCTAGTGCAGTTAAATAATGTACAACTTTTTCCATTTTCATTTCACTGAAATTATTTTTATTGAGATAAATTATTTTCCATGAAAATTTTCAATAAAAGTTGGCTCTATCATCAGGTCTGTGCTCGCATTACAGCTCACGGATGATCAAGATTGGACACCCTGGTTCATTTGTAGCCAGCAACACATTTTACAATGGACAGTTTCATTGTTGTCCATTGTATCTTGTACTGGTTAATTTACCAAGTTAAAATCTCCCCCAGGAGTGGGTAGGGTGGTTTTCAATGTTACCAATAAAATGACTACAGTTTTATTATCACAAATTTTACCAGACAGCCAATGAAAACATGTAAAGGGGTCAACACCACACAGACCAAGTGTGCTCCTTCTTGCCCTTTGGAGACTCAAAGACAGTGACCCCTCCTGCGATGCCTCCCTCTCCTGATAAACCCCCCGGATTCTGGTAGCTGTTTCTCCACACTCAGGTCACAGGTCTGAGTTTCTCCAAACAGTCCTTAAAGCATGGCGCCCAGCAACCCAATCCTTCAATGGTGAGAAGAGTCATCTTTATTCCCCACGCCATACTCCTCTTAACGCAGCGAGAGAGAACACTGACTTGCTTATCCAAGGCAGGGACGGCTTCACTACCCAGTCTCCCATGGGATCTGGACCCCCCCCCACCTGTGCTGCTATCAAGTTTCTGAACCCCGCCCTGGCATGCATTCCCAAATGTCAAACTCACAGGAACCAGCCCAGCCCTTGCTCAGAGCTTCCCAGGGAGAGGCCTCGACAATGCCTCATGACCACGCTGGGAGACAGGAGTCCCTTCCTTATGCAAGTCACCCAGCCTGTGAGTTGGAGCCAGGACCCCATCCCAGGAGGTTGGGAAGGTGGTTGGAACAGGGGAGCAAATGCCCTGGCGGTTCCGGATCCTGAGACCTGCTCCCGGCCATAAGCCTGTGAATGTCTGGCTCACTTTTTGCAGGGACAGAGCCACAGCTTGCGGGCAGAACACATCCCCCAACTGAGGGGCCTGAGATGAAACTGAGAAGTGGGTGCAGGAGAGGAGCTGGACTCAACACTGGTGGGAGGCAGGAGGGGACATTCTGGAGGAGGAGTCCTTGGAAGTATGGGTGCCATTTATTTCCCACCCACAGCCCGACCCTTTGCTAGCGAGTAGGAAGCTCTGGGAGACCACCTCCTGGGATCTCTGCTATTGGGCTCCAGCCCGCTGGGGGTGAGCCAGGGGAGCCCGGGCTGGGCGCCTTGGAGCAGGGCCGCCTGCCGGTCTGTTTAGTGGGTAACTGATCACCCCGAGCCCCGCCCCAGCCTCCCGCCTCCCGGTCGAGCCGCTTAATCACCGCCCGCCTGGCTGCATTAGCATAGTAATGGCCTTTAAATTGAGCCTCTTTGTTTTTTAATTAAGCTCCCAGCAGGTACAGAGAAGAGCGATTATTGAGGAAGCTGCCAGCGCTAATCGCCCGCAGTCATTTGACAATTAAAAAGCTCCTGGCTTTAACCCTTTCCCCGCACCCACAGTAGTTCTCCTAGCATTTATTCTGCGCCAACTGTGTGCACACTTTCCCGGTGGGATCCACGGACCCCACCCCAAGACACTTGAAGAGGTCCCTGCCAACACCTCTGTTTTGCTTAGGAGCAAACTGAGGCGCAGAGAGGGAAGGTAACTTGCCCAAGACACACAGCTTGGCGTGGAAGAGCCGGGGTTGGCAGACAGGTTGCTAGTGAAATCCAGCAGCCTGGGCTTTGCGCCTCGCACTGCCCTCTGCTTGGAGCATCACCCACCTGTGAATCTGGCAGAATCCTTGGGCTTCAAGGTGCAGGCGGGCACCTCCCAACTCCATGGCCATAGCCCCCTCCTCGGAATCCCCAGGGCATCTCTCCCCCACTAGTTCACCCATTCCCCAAATACTGATGGGTGCTTATTGTGTGCCAGGGGCAGCGCTGGGCGCTGGGGATGGCTGCAAGCCAGCCAGAGGTGGGCTCAGCCCACAGGGACCTGCTAGCCGGGACGGGAGACAGGTGAACGGAAAGGTGGGCGCGACTGCTCCTGATCCGGCCCAGGTGGGGCGGGCGTCGGAAAGCCCACTTTCCTGGAGACTGAGGTTTGGGCTGAGGCTGAGCGATGAGGAAGGTCAGCCAGGTGAGGGCGGGAAGCGATGGAGAGGCCAGGCCGCAAGGGAAAGAGCGAGCGCAGAGGCCTAAGGACAGAACGGCCACTACCCAGAAAGAAAGGGTGCCAGGAGCGTGCGGGGAGGGCGCAGGGGCCGAGGGGAGCTGGAGAGCCGCGGGAGCCAGCTCGAGTGTGCAGGGTCTTGCCGGCTTAAAAAAATTGGCACTTTTACTCTCAACAATAAAGATTTTTTAAAAGTTGGCATTTTAATAACTGAATTTCTTTTCGAATAGGTAATGGTTTAATATTCAAATGCACAAAGGTGTCCGCTTCTGTCTCCACCCATCCCAGCTCTCCGGGTCCCCTCCCCGGAGGCTCCCGCTCCCGCACCTGAGCCCCGCCCACGGCGCACCCGTAACCGGTACACCGGCCAGTGTGTATCTGTTATGCCCCCGCCCGGGATTTTTTTTTTTTTTAATGAGAACTGGCTGGGGGTTTTGTCTACTTTTTTGTTTTGTTTTACTCAAATGCTAATTTACTCTACAAACCGAGCGTGCATCACCCTCTGTCCCCTCCCGCCCGCAGGACGGTCGGGGAGGACCCCTCTCTCTCCCTGGGGCACCTCAGCCGCCCGACACTCCGCCCGGTGGGCAAACCCTAATTTATTTAACCTGTGCCCCGTTGCTGCGCCGCGGGCCATTTAAAGGATTTTTGTCTTCATCTCAAGTGCCGGCGGGAAGCCATTGAAACGTTTTAAGAGGGGAGTGGCTTGAGCGATTTACATTTTTAGAAGATCGTTTTGGCTGCAGAGCGGAGACCAAGGGTAGGGGGAGCACGGAGCGGGTGTCGCCGTTGGTGCCCTGCAGCGAGAGGTGCAGACCGCCCAGGGTGCGGGAGTGGGAGAGGGGGTGCATTACCCGCGGGCCACGTAGGGTGTTAAATGGACTGGGCTTGGCGTGGGTGAGAGGGCCTGGGGTGGCTCCTCGACGCCTTTGGGTGCCTGGTGGATTGCAGAGCAGGGGTTGAGATGGGGGTGCATGGGGGTGGATGGGGGCCCACGTGGAGACACCAGGTGCGCCGTCACCCAGAGCAGCGTCCGCATCGCCATCG